ACCATGTGAAGTTAGTTTTTTTAAGGCTATCATTCCCCCCTTTTTATATGAAATAGGGCCATATGTTGATAGGTATAAAAAGTACATAATCATAGCACATAGGAAATATAATCCACTTGACATTGCTGGTGTTTAAATTAGTAAAACAATATACATCACAAGGAAACATCTTTACACAGATATGACTTTACACAGTTATATTTCTGCATGCTGATGCAGAAAATTGTATCAAATTAAAATCACAGTGAGATATCCCCTCACGCATCTCAGGACAGCTATTATCAAAAAAAGAAAAAATGACAACAAGCATTTTCTGAGAAGGTGGGGAAATTGAAACCCTTATACACTGTAGGTAGAAATGAAAAATGATGTAGCTGTTTTGGAAAATAATTTGGAGTTCCCCAAAGAAATTAAAAATAGAGCTGTGAGTAACCCCTTTCTGGGATTTATCTAAAAGAATTGAAACCAGAATCTTGAAGAGATACTATATTAGCATTCCTGTGTTCACTGTAGAGCTGCTCACAATAGGCAAGATGTAGAACAAACCTAATTGTCCCTCAACAGAAGAATGGTTAAAGAAAATGTGGTATCTACATACCATAGAATATATTCTGTCTTTAAAAAAGAAAGGGATGGGGATTTATCTCAGTGGTTCCGGCACCTGCTTTGCAGGCACAAGGACCGGAGTTTGATCCCCGGTACCAAAAAGCAAAACAAAACAAAAACAAAAAAACAAAATAACATTTCCTGGTAAAAAAGAAAGAAATTCTGCAATTTGTAATGACACTGGTGAACCTGGAGGACATCATACTAGATGAAATAAACTAGTAACAAGGAGAGAAATACTACATAATTCCTCGCAGATAATTGTGAGATTCATGGATTAAACAAGTGGAATGACGCTGCCTGCCGCAAGTGCAGAGTCTCAAGTTCAATCCCTGGTACAAAAAAAAAAAAAAAAAAAAAAAAAAAAAGGTGAACTGTGGACTGATAGTTAGCAGGGGCTAAGGAGAGAGAAAAAGAAGTTACTAATCAATAGATAAAAGATTTCACTCAGTCAAAGAAGAAAAAGATTTCAGTCAGTCAAGCTAATAATCTTAAGAAATCTTTATACAATACTTTACCTATAGGAAAAAGTAATAGATGATATACTTAAAATTGGTTAAGAGATATGTTAGGTATTTTTTCCATGCTTACATAAAACAATAGGAGAGAGAAAAAGAAGTTACTAATCAATAGATAAAAGATTTCACTCAGTCAAAGAAGAAAAAGATTTCAGTCAGTCAAGCTAATAATCTTAAGAAATCTTTATACAATACTTTACCTATAGGAAAAAGTAATAGATGATATACTTAAAATTGGTTAAGAGATATGTTAGGTATTTTTTCCATGCTTACATAAAACAATATAAATAAAGAAATGCACACAAACAAAAAAGTAAAGATATTTTATAAAAAAGTAAAGATACTTATTACTAAACACACCCTTCTCCTACTGTTCCGACCACACTCTTGTGCTAAATTTTCACCACCATTTGTGTCTAGGGTGACATTCTTGGATTCTTTTGCTTTTAGCTTTTATTGATAATTCTTAGTGTTATACGTGCCTCTCATCACTTTGGTGTACCCTTGATTATTAATTCTGGTAAAGACACAAAGCTTGCTTGTATCAAATGGTACATCAGATTTTTCTTCCCCTCTCCTCCCCTCTTCCTCTCATTGGTCTATCTTCCTTCTCTCCTGCTTTAGTTTCTTTCTTATCCTTTTTAAGGGAAGAAAGCTTCTTAATGGAGATGGGTCCTTGTTTTTGTTAGAGTAGAAGGAAGTTGCAGAAATTTTACCAAGGTCAGATACTGTATCTTAATTGTGCTGTAAGGGAGACTTTCACAATGGCAGGAGAAAGCGCTGCCTTCTTTAGAGGTTTGCCTCTGCAGAATCTGACGGGCTGGTACTAACCCTGAGAAAAGGAGCATGTTCTCTACCTCCATCCTTCTGGCACAGATTCTGGACGCCCATGAAAGGTAGATGTGGAAGGAGAAGGAAGGGAAGGATATCAAGATGAATAGAGGAGACACAGAAAAGACAGGACAAACACTAGTGAGGTCACCCTGGGCACTAGTTCAAGCCAGGGTGTGTGCAGGATGTGACAGTAGGATGGTGGGGCATGGGTTGCTTCATTCTCTGCACTCTGATTATGTTTAGGATTGGCTGATACAGGTGGAGGGTCCCTAATCTAAAATTCAATGCTACCAAATTTGAAACGGTTGGAGTGCAGGCGTAAAGCCACAAGTGAAAACTTCTACATCTGACCTTTGTAAGGGAGCGGAGTCAAAACCAAAGTACAGTAAAAATATTGTATGAATTACCTTCAGCCCCTGTGTATAAGGTGTCCAAGAAATAGAATTTTATGTTTACATTTGGGTCCCATCCCCAAGATACCTCATTATGTATGTACAGATATTCCAAAATCCAAACAATGCCTAGGATAAGGAAGACACAAGCCGTAGTTAAACTGCTTCTTTTCTGGACTGTGTCCGCTGGCCTTTCCAGATATTGCACACATCGTGGTGGTGGAGAGAAATGAGAAGAAGGTCCCATGTGGAGATTGGTGGAAATTGGATATGTGAACTCTGGAGAAAAGAATACAGAGGCTCTTTCCCTTATGTGCTCATAAAGAGGCTGTACGTCAATATGGAAAACGAAACCCACGCGTGATGAAAACAGTGGAAACTATCCCTAGCTCCCAAGTCAATAGCTTGGTTTCCTGATCCATTCCCCACCTGCCATGTATCTTAGGAGACACAGAGAGATGCCAGCTCCCATGTGCTTTCATTATGTTATTATACAGTACACAAGGACATTTGAAATCTCTAAGAATTACAAGTATAAAATATGGTCCAGCCAGAAATATTTAAAGCCCAGGCAGTGAGCTCCTTGCCTGCAATTCTCTTCTCTGCCCCAGGAATGGTGCCATTTGCACCACACTGTGTGTGGCTGCTGGGTTTTAATTGGCACTGAATACACAAAGCAAATGGCACAGACCCATCTCCTCTGAGTGCTGAGGTTATATTCATTGATAGAGTAGTTTCCAGCTCAGCCATTGTTGCTGGAAAGCTACACCCTTGGGGTTTTCCCTTTTGCCTATTGGCCTGACTCTGGGAATAGCCAGCTTAAGCATACCCCTGTCTCCATGCATATTAGAATCACCTGTTGAGCTTTGGAAACAAATGGGCACTAGGATTACCTTCTCCCCACCGCAGATCAAATAAGTCACAATCTGGGCATGGAGTCCAGGCCTCAGTGCTTTTGAAAAAGCTTCCTGGGGATTCTGAAGGACAGACAAGGTTGAAATCTTCTGGACTTTCTGAGAAATACTTTGTCTCTCTTTTTTCCTGTCAGTCTGTCTCTGTCTCTTCTTCTTTCTTGATCTTTCTTTCCTTCTCCCCTCCCTCATTTTTCTCTTCTCCCTCTTCGAATTCCCTTCCTCTCTCCTTCCCATAACAGACTCTCGTGGCGATGACTACTTCCCTGGTCACAGTCTCACTCCCTTCCCGCAAAACCAAAAAGTTTGCTTAAACCCAAGTGCTCTGTTTTCCAGTACCTTTTCTGGGAGGCTTTGTTTTTTAAATATGTGTTTACAAAATGTTAGGTAGCATTGTTTATCTTTAACTGTGAGCCCACCTGCCCCTGGTCCTTGGTAGAAGGGGAGACCTGGGAAATGAGTAATGAAGCTGAAGAAACTTCAAAGATTTTCTACTTAGCCCCATTTTTATGGGTTCCTGTGCTTGGTGTAGGGCCACGCGGGGCCATAGATCCTCCATTCATTCCCTGGTTGGATAAATAAAGGCAGATCTTTTTAGTATTCCAAGACCCATGCTTTGTGGTAAATTTATACGATGAATAAGGAAAAGACTTCTGCTGTTAAGGGAGTGACACTTAAATATTTAACCGTAACACCATGTTTTACATTTTTAATGGAAATATTTGAGCAGATTCTTCATGATTAAGTAGAAATTAACAGGGAAAAGGGACAAGCGGGCATTCTAGGTAGAGGAGTAAACAGACAAAGGCTCACAGATGAGAAATAGTGTATGCCCTGCGAAAATCTGTCGTTTGTTCAGTGGGTTCAAATTCATGGGCACATTGAGGACTGTCTGTGGACCTAGTAATATCAGGACTTCTCTTCCTCCCAGCCACCCAGTGAGGGCGCCTGAGGCCCTTCAACTTCTGATTTAGAGTTTTCTATTGGCTGATTATTTCATCAAAACTTGACCACTACAAGGGGAAGCACTTGCATCTGGCTCTCTGGGTTGTAGGTAAGAGAATGTTAGGAAGACATGATTTATAGTGCTTGTCACTTTCTGTGACACAGATATCACTGACCAAGGGATCTGGATAAAATATGCCCAATGGGTTTGCTGAGTTGATACCACCTGGATACATTTTACCACCAGTTACAGTCTTGGCTTACTGTGACTCGACTCGCTGCCTGGTGTTGGCCATGACAGCACGTACCATCGTGAAAATGTAGACCAGAAGCTGTGGAAGAATAGGAAGGGGACAGTCTCGTTCCGAGAACAGCAGTACTGTCGAGGGCCTTTGGAGATCTGCAGTCATGCTCTGGGTTGAGAGAGTGAAAGGCCAAGAAAATCTCCATTCAGCACTCGGACAGTGTGCCCCACAATAGGAGGATACCTGGTGGGGTTGAGTCCTAGGACAGGAGCTCAAAGGCCCCTGCCCTTAAATGTACTTCCCAGTAATTACTCGTAAGTACTTCCTTCAACTCAGCTACTCCCCCTTCTCTCTTTCAAAGTCAACTACATGGCTGAAGATTTTATAAAGAGAATTTCTTGCCACTTCCTGTGGCCCATTTGCCCTTTGCATGCTGCAGCACTTGCCCCAGGACCCATGAGGTGGCCATCTGGCACATTACAGCTATGAGGGCCTAGGGACTCGGGTGAAGGACAAGGCATGTGGTGATTGTTTGTGCTGTCATTTTAGGCACCAGACGAACTTCTTTGGGATCAACCTGTCCAGTCTCCAGCGTGCAGCAGTGGACGAATACTTCAGGCAGCCAGTAGTAGTAAGTGGGCTGTCTTTTCAGGCTTTCTGTCATTGTGTGCATCTGATACCTTTGCTCTTCTGTCTGTCGAGTACTGTGCTGCAAGGCTCTGTGTAGAGCCATCGCAGGAGAGGAGGAATTCCTTGGAATACCATGCCTCAAGACTTCTGGTGTTTCTCTGTCAATCTGTTGAGATAACTGTCATAGAGGTACTATTAAAAATAAAGAGATCTAACTACCTTTCACTGGGGAATTTACCCTGATCCTCCCTATAAACCCTCATCCCTCATACTGTGTCAATAATTCATATTTTCCCATTGACCTCAGTGGTTCAAAACATAATAGAAGAAACATTTCATAACAGTTTAGAGCAAGAGCTTCTCTGTTAATGAGATTTAGTTTCAATTGTGACCTCATCTAGCTGTGTACCCTTGGGCAACTTTGCTTGTATCACCAGAAGCTCTCAGCATTAAATAAAAGGAAACCCAAACCAAGCTGGCTAAAGCTAAAATGAAATCACTGTCCTTCAAAAACTGCAGGGCCTGAGTACATAGGGTGCTGCAGAAATCTGTTGCTGGTGCTTAGACTCTGTCCCCAGGATGTGATTTTTCTGACCTCATCACTTACCTATACTTACTCTGATTTAACCATATGCCCAGACAGGCTATCTGGCCCCTTGTGGTACCAGGAGGCTCCAGCTTTCAACCACATCACATATATAAGAGCCCATCTCTTCCTAAACAATTAGGAAAAAGCCCAAGATTTAGTGTAGGTGGAACCTGCTTTTTCTACCTTGGATCACGCATGTTTCCATCTATAAACCTATCACTGTCTTCTGGGGAAAAGTAATATTTTGATTGGTCAAACTCAAGTCACATGCTATGCCTGTTACAGGGTGTGGACTGGACTGGTTTCCACACTAGCACTTCTTAGGCAGAAATGAGGAACAAATTCTTCAGAGTTGAAAACTTGTTCTAGAGATGTTGCAAAAAAGTAAATAATACAGGGCCAGGGATTTAGCTCAGTAGTTCTGCCACCTGCCTCACACCCACAAGGATCCGAGTTTGATTCCCAGTACCAAAAA